GAATGTTTATTCGAATTCGTATTCGAATGAATTCCGTATTCAAATTATTCGACTTTGTTGCGGAGCCAACTGCTGAGTGTAAGCTCATTTCGTCCGTTTTTTTTTCGCAAAACTCGGTAATGCAGCTTTTGCAACTTATGACCTTTGAACTGTATGGAGGGTCGCATTCTTCCGACTGCTTGACAGTAAAAAATCATATGTGGATTATAATTGATGCTTTTTCGATCAGTGAGATTGTTCGCAATGCTATTGGCACCAAATCAACAAAGAAACTATCAAGTGCAAGCTTATGATCCGAGTTAATTTACTGGAAGTGTGTTGAATGCCTTTTTCCCTCCTTTGCATTGGTCATGCTTGTGCTACGCAAAGTCTACGCTAGTGAGCACTCTCGCTTGCAAAAGTCATATTGCACAAATGCCTCTATTCTTTACCTTGGAGATTTTTTACGAATTAGTTTATTTTGAGTAAAGGACATCGCAGCTGCAAAGGGGGATTAGACGGTTGCTAAATTTTGCAGTTATATCACCTTGCAATAAAGTTTTGTTCAGTAGGGTACAGGATACTTCTGCTATCACAGTGCATCCAAGATTTTCACAGAGGCTTGCAGACACTTTAACACCGGGAGCTAACACCTATACCAACTATGGTAAAGGTTATAAGTGGACGAAGAAGGCCCACATTGAGAAATGCGGGTTTTGATTACGACGTACTTCACGCGATAGCCGTACGCGATTTGTCAGTAACGAGATGTCTTCGAATGTAACGCCAGTTTGACACATGTGTATAGCGCGTACAATTTAGTAGATAGATAAGTGCCCCTTCGTTCTGCATTTTTAGAATCCGCACGATAGGTTATGAACAATTTGCCTATGGCCAAACCAGTCGCCACTGAAATGCCTGCAGCGTGGCCGAGGCTGTAGGGGCATTCGTGCTCGCTTCGCGGGATGAATCACATGCCTTCGTCCACGACTAGCTTATATCACACAAGACGAAAGTCTGCGATGAACAGGCAATGTTGTAGCATTTGTGAAATATAAGTACATATGTGGCCATTTTTACTGCTCCAAAAGATAGTAAGATTAAGCGCACACTTAACGCTATGTATCCAAACAGCTCATTAGGTGCTTACACCAGGTTGCAACTTTTGTCATTTTTAGATCTCAACTCCAGCTAATTTCATTTGCTGTTGTTTTATTTCATCGATTTGATCGATTTTTGGAAAATTTTTAGCTACGAGGCCGGGAGTTGGTACAGGGGGGGGGGTCAGTGAGGGTGCTGATTATAACCGAAATCTGTCTTATCGATTCAGCGATTTGGAAAATCTTAAGCTTGGAGTTGGTTAAAGGGGTTAAACTAACCCTGGAGGGTTAGTTTAACCCTGGAAAGCGTTTAACCCGTATTCATGAAACACAGGGTAGGCTTAACCCTGAGGGTTAAATCTAACCTTGAGGGTTAATTTTACCCCGAAAGCGACTAACCCGTATTCATCAACGAACCGTGAGGGTTAAACTAACCTTGGAGGGTTAAACGTATGTGATTCATCAGGGTTAATTTAACCCTAGCTCAGAGCAAGGTTAACTCTATCCTAACAATTCATACAAACATTTACTCGCATCTAATAGTTTATGGAAAACGATCAACGAGTATTGTAGTAATTAGTATTGGTTGTTGTTATAATATTTAGTTTCGACTTCGTTTTATGTTCATATTCGAAGTACATGAAACACTGACTTTGCGAGAAAAAGAATTCTAGCTTTGGTGACGAATGAATGCGACGAGGAAAAATGGTTGCGCATTCCACTCTGACAAGTGCCAAAACAGAAGCCCCTTTATGATAACACGCATTGACCCCTAAAAGAGTAGCACAAGCCCGGTATATAACGAACTGCGTAAAAGTGGAACTTACACTGCACAACTGCACACATGAAAATAAGCTCACGCTGTAAGATTGGATGCTGCACAAGTATGCTAGAGATGTATTATAAAAACTAGTGTTAGAAGCTTATTCGTTGACTATACTACTATAACAGTGAAAGAATAGAAGTATAAAGTGAATTTAGCCCGTACTTAGGCATTCTGTGATGTGAGTTTGCACAGCGCACGCGTAACTGACGCCTTAAACCTCCAGGGTTAGTTTAACCCTCAGGGTTGATGAATACGGCCACGGGTTCGTTGATCGATACGGGTAGATCGCGTTTCGTGGTAAACCCTAGCCTATGCTTGATGAATACGGCCAAAGAACCCTGAGGGTTAAACTAACCCTGGAGGTAAGCTTAACCCTCAGGGTTCGTTGATGAATACGGCCACAGGTATCCTTCCCTCAGATCACCTCCCCAGTGGGGATGTACGTACGTAGTACGGGCCTCGAAGTCAGATCCTGGGCGAATATTCGCTGTATAGGAAGCTTAAAGTGTTGTTTTTCTGCGATTTTGCACTTCGCGTTAGGGTTATCTCTTAGGCCCGTATGCACGTACATCCTCGAGGGAGGGGAGGGGATCTGAGAGGGGAAGCGTCATATTTCGCCACTCTCTGTACCTTTCTTCTCATTTCTTTATCTGTGATATGAAGGTTCTTATACCCAGATACCTACGCATAATAGTTGGCAAGTCACTGCCTACAAGATTAGATTTTCACCAGTTTGTGTGATCCCCTGGGGATCCCCAGGGGATCACCTCTCATTTTCGAAGTCATTTATCTTTCTGAAAACTCCATGAAGCTGTAAAGTTGCACTGAGGATATACTGTGGCACTGCTAAGCATGTTTTCGACAGAAGAAATAGAATCTGAAGATTATCAATTTTTCGATAATCCCTGGCTCGCGAGCAGCGGTTCATCGAAAATTTCGATATCCTGAGACCTTATTTCTACTACAGACATGTTTAGCAGTGCTGAAGTATATCCTCAGTACAATTTCAGAGCATTTTCATTGAATTTTCAGGAAGATAAGTGACTTTAAAAATGTGAGGTGATCCCCTGGGGATCCCCAGGGGATTAGACGAAATAGTGAATATCTAATCTTGTATGGCAGTAACCTGGCATCCGTTATGGGCAAGTATCAGTGAATGAGAACCTTCATAAGCAAGATAGGAAAGGAAGAAGAAAGATACGTAGAGCATTGAGATATGGCGCATCCCCTCTCAGATCCCCTCCCCTCCCCAGCGGGGATGTACGTGCATATGGGCCTAATTCACGGCGAGAATTGGACTTGTATGCCTCAGCCTCTTCAGCTAGCAAACAGCTTCACAAAGTGTGACAAGGAACTGAGGAGGCTCTTGCTATTGTGTCAACAGGCAGTTTGTTCCAGGATGTATTAGGCTGATACAAAGATAATGACAGACAAGTTTGTAGATGCTGAAAGTGACTTTTCTCAATAACAGAACAGGTGTCACGCTGGATTTTTACTCTTTGGGCGAAGATCCGTTTGAAGGCACCGTCCACCCAAATTTTCGACTTCTACGTATTTGTTGTTTCAGGGCCTTCTCATGTCCCTGATTCCGAATATGAAGTCGAGAATGCGCAAAAACCCTGACAATCCCCGTTTTGGAGAGCCCACAGGCCGGCTTTTCGGAACTGTGATTGGACGGGCGCGCACAAATCGGCGGGCATGGATGGGGGAGGGCGGGCATGGATGGGGGTCCTCGTGCATCTTCGCTGTTCTGAAGCGATTTTCTCGCTTCCGGAGCGACATTTTGCGCCGCGACTCGGGCATTGCATTGATAGGAGGCCTTCTCAGACAATCGCTGGGGGCAAGCGGGCATCGGAAAAATAGATCGCTAATCTCTCGCACCCCGCTCGCGAATTTTTTGGAAAGCAATCAGGACTTTTCGGAAGACCGCTTGCTGAGTTCTCGATTCCTCAGAGGTTCAGCAATATATCTGCAAAAGATAAGAGCGAAAAAATATTCAACAGGCGGTCTCTCAAAAATCCGCTGACTCAGCAAGCGGTCTTCCGAAAAGTCCTGATTGCTTTCCAAAAAATCCGCGAGCGGGGTGCGAGAAATCAGCAATCTATTTTTCCGGTGCCCGCCTGCCCCCAGCGATTGTCTGAGTTACTGTTATATGCTCCCAAAAGGTTAACACCCTCAACTTAGGGTGGACGGTGCCTTTAAGCTGGCTAAATGCTCACAGATGGTTTAAATTTTACGTGGATCAGCGATTTATGTAGGTTTTTGATAATACTTTATAAAGCTTGTTTTATTCTATCGACTACTTGTCCCACTCGTATGATTCTATATTCGCCTGCCTTGATAACAGTGGCGGTCCCGAGGGGGCGGAGAGACCCTCCTCCTCCATTCTCGGAAGAAATTTTTGAAAGTTATTCAGATGGGTTATAAAAATGTGCAAGTGAATTGTTTATACTTGCAAATAAACAAAATAATCTTTGAAATAGAAATTCAAATTAACCGTCTGAAAATTTCGACTGGCTTAGGCTCATGAGCCCAGAAAAATCAGAAGCATCTCAAACAATTTTTCGAAGGTACATGGCTAACCCTACGCACCTTTATCCACAAAAAGGTCCGAGATCCTGGGACCGCCACTGCTTGGTATCATAATCTGCGGACGTATTTTTGCACCAACTTTTTAAAATGCTGAGTACACTGAACAAAGTATGAGGTTCAGTCAAAATCAGATCTGGTACAGATCTGCAATACTAATGTTGCTTATATTTACCCTGTTATTCCTCATTTCATATTCGTCAACGCAAGTCCCGAAATGCTCTTATGACCCCATTTTGCATAAAATGTTCTTAACAGATGAAACAGAGAACGAAATGTGGTTAAGATCATTACACAACCAAATATAAAGTGTACTAGGCGTTGCAGCATGCAAGTGCAGTTGAAGTGTTTGTTTATACCTCATATCCTTCTAACCGTTCACAGCATTTGACATTCGCCAAGCAATTATTTCATCAATTTTCTCACCACTGATTTTGTGAAAATATGCGTATGAGTTGGAAGAGATAGTCAACCTCTGAAATTTTCTAGTATTTGTTACTTCAGGAATGGCTGTGATTGATGTAAACGAGTCGATTACGACTCATAAGACGGCCACCATCCGTAACTACAACACACAACCACGATTGGGTAATTCAAGGTAGCCCTTGACCTTTTTAGAGAAATCGTTTTTTTAGTTTACAAAACCGTGGTTGGTGTGAACGGGCCTCTGGTAATCCTGAACGAGGTAAAATTTCCACAATACAATGAAATTGTGCACATCACATTGCCAGATGGAACGCAGCGTGTGGGACAAGTGCTGGAAATTTCAAGAAACAAAGCCGTTGTTCAGGTAATTGATTTTTTAAGGAAAATCTTGCATGCGTGATGACCAACGCTGGGTTGGTTGACGGGGATTTTTTCTGGCGAATCTCAGAAAATCTATAGGGAATGCTATTGTAACCCTACAATGTATCACATAGAACTCACGAGCCAAAAATATGTCAAATCTCTCTAGGTATTCGAAGGGACTTCGGGTATTGACGCAAAAAACACCATCTGTGAATTCACTGGTGACATTTTGCGAACACCCGTGTCCGAAGATATGCTAGGACGTATCTTCAATGGTTCCGGAAACCCTATTGACAGAGTGAGTCTAGCCTGAATATGCTTGGATATCAGGTACATATCGCATCTCCAACATTTAGGGACCACCAGTGCTAGCAGAAGATTTTCTGGACATCAATGGGCAACCAATCAATCCATGGTCACGCATTTATCCAGAGGAAATGATTCAGACTGGAATCTCTGCCATTGACGTGATGAACTCAATTGCCCGTGGACAGGTACTGCCTGGCGTAGCGGTGAAAAGTTCCAGTAAGAATATCTTTTTCTCAGAAAATCCCAATTTTCTCGGCTGCCGGTCTACCCCATAACGAAATTGCCGCGCAGATTGTGCGTCAAGGAGGTGATTCATTTCTGCCCACATACAGATAAATACAACCTTGGTCGTTGTTCAATAGTAAGATTTGGTCCCTTCAGGTTTGGTAAAATTTGCTACCGATAGCACAAAGGACCAATCCGATTCGAACTTTGCTATCGTTTTCGCTGCTATGGGTGTCAATATGGAGACAGCCAGGTTCTTCAAACAAGATTTCGAGGAGAATGGTGGGTCCTTCATACTAGATCAGTCAAATGTGCATGCCAATTTTGAAAGCAGTTTGCTGCGCAAGGAAATCAGTACAGACCCTTTTGAAGTTCTCTCACTATTTATATCTCGTTGGGAGAGGAGCTAATAATTTTTAACGTCAAAATGTGCACTATTTTCCCAGGAAGTATGGAAAACGTCTGCCTGTTCCTCAACTTGGCTAATGATCCTACCATCGAACGTATCATCACCCCTCGATTAGCACTAACAGCAGCCGAATTTTTCGCATATCAATGCGAAAAACACGTGCTGGTCGTCCTAACTGACATGTCCTCATATGCAGAAGCATTGCGAGAGGTGACTGGAAGAATTTAATTATTTCCTTCGGGGATTAAAAGCATAATAACTGGTTTCCATTTCTATCCCTCAGGTGTCTGCCGCTCGAGAGGAAGTGCCTGGACGTCGTGGATTCCCAGGTTACATGTATACTGATTTGGCGACAATCTACGAACGAGCTGGACGAGTAGAAGGACGCGATGGTTCTATCACTCAGATTCCAATTCTTACCATGCCTAACGACGGTAAGGATTTTGAAATTTACCAAAACGAAAGCATTTCCAAAAGTGTTGTGGCTGAAGAATGCAAAAAATTTTGATTGAAACTGAGAAGCGTTCAATCTCTACCTTTGCGTTCTAGATATCACTCACCCCATCCCCGACTTGACTGGCTACATCACTGAAGGACAAATATATGTTGATCGTCAGCTTCACAACAGACAGGTTTTTGAATTGGATCCAATTTTCTAATGAAGAACTTAAGAAGTTTAGATTTACCCACCAATCAACGTGCTGCCTTCATTGTCTCGACTGATGAAATCAGCCATTGGCGAGGGAATGACACGAATAGACCATGCTGATGTTTCTAACCAGGTCCGAATCAAACGGATAAGTTTTTGTTTCGATGTCAGAGGTGATTGAGTGATGTTTTAGTTGTACGCCTGCTATGCCATTGGCAAAGATGTACAAGCTATGAAAGCTGTAGTAGGTGAAGAGGCCTTGTCACCTGATGACCTGCTTTACCTGGAGTTTTTGGGAAAATTTGAGAAGGGCTTCATTGCTCAAGGTGAGTTGCCGAATGCGTTACTGACACACTTGATCAATGTACTGTTTTCTATTCTAGGAAACTACGAAAAACGGGATGTGTTCGAATCGTTGGACATCGGATGGCAACTTCTGCGTATTTTCCCTCGAGAAATGCTAAAACGAATACCAGAAAGCATTCTCGACAAATACTATCCTAGAGGAGGAGCAGGAGCAAAAGCTGTAGAAGTAGAATCGTCTTAATTGTCACACATGCATTTCGCTGTATCATACCTGTATAGCAATACAAAAGATAATGTCTCTTGTCCATGTGCCACTTTATAATTCACAAACGATATGAATATTTCATTCAAGGACTCGCCATTTCGACCACAACCATTAGAGTGACGTTAATTTTTACCCCAACGGAGTGCTTCAACGTTGCGGACAACGAGCGGCGCCTGAAATGTTGCGAGAGCGGATTTATATAATGGCGATTTGTACTGGAGCAAGCGTTTTACCTCGCGGCGCCTGCTCCGCAGTGGGGTCCAGTCAGGACCCGGCACGAGTCGGTTTCTAGGGTTTCTGGAAACGAAGTCTCCCCTGACTTTCGGAATTTTACGAAGTCCCCTTTGACCTACCTGCTTAAAAGAAGATGAAAACAAGAAAGATTTACCAGTCTGAAAGAAAAGACGTAAGACAAGAGTGAAAATCCAAATTGGAGCTGGAAACTACGCATGCACAAGACTTTGGGATTAGTGCGCGATATTTAACAAAGCGAGAAGAAATGAAGGCAAAAACAAAGGAAAGGCAATGATATGAAAATGTCTTCATGCTCAGGGATAAATTTTTGACCGGGCAATCCGTCCATGCTAAAAAGATCCGAAATTTATGTGAATGACGAAAATATATGCTCCAAACCATCTCAGATAGTCTGGTGGCCGTCTGGAGACAATCTAATTTTGGAAAAGGTATTACTTCACATAAGTTTTCAAATCTTTTTACATCCTTTCGCAAATAATTTTCTATACATACAGTTAAATTTTGGTGTCATATACTTCTGTGTGCGCTGTAAACAAGCAATTCGTTTATTCAAGCCTTGCTTTCAAATCGCGCGCACTTTTCGTCATGCACGATAGAGCATGTCAATCGTGTGATAATCTGTCCGAAAAGCTTGTGTTCGACTAAATGGCGCTTATTCTTGGTTCTCGGTTCCGACTCGTCAAAAACGATATTCCCTTTGCTGTTTGCTTCAGAAGCGACCAGCCTGCTTCCAGACGATCGGTGCCGAGCCCTGGATCCAGTCCGTGCCGTCAACGAATCAACGATAGCCAACGTCTACACAAAGCCGTTTACACGATATACAATACCGCTCACATTTTTTGAAAAAAAGACGCAAATGTCGCATCATGTGTAAACATCAGCGTCGCGTGGCCATATCTCGCTTCAGAGTGGGCGAATTCTGTATCTAGAGCCATCATTCGACTCAGCTCGGCGCGGCGCATCTTCCGATGTATAGAAGTGTCCACTTGGACGCAGTAGTAGGTCAGATTTCACAATTGTTTCAGATCTTTGCTGAGTACACTGAGCAAGCACAAGCAACTGAGTAACCTACAGCCCACAAAATGAGAGAAAATCGGTAGTTTTGCGCGATATCCGATTTTGTCCCGTATTTCGGGATTATCCTCGACAGAAAAAATGAAGAGGGAGAAAATCGGGAGACGCGATTTGTTTTCAATTTACATCTAACTTCTTCAGTTGCATCTTACTCGACAACATATTCTCATTCCTAAACATGCACTTCATTTAAGACGTATACCTACATATACGGTGAACTTCCGAATGGCGGTGCACATAGATGCAAGCAGTAACAAGCTCCTGCAAGTGGATCCAGCGAATTGGTCAAGTGTCTACCACATCATCATTGATCTTGTGAGAAAGTGAAGGGAATTGAGTTTTAAGCGCGCTTACTCTGCAGGATAGCATCTTGTGCTCATACGCTAAGTTGTCTAAGGTCTTACCTTCAACCTCTGGTTTCCATTTTGAATGTTTGGTACAAAAGTTTGATTATTTGGTAAGTTAGTGAACAGCGGTTTTTCTAAAAATTCTGCAATAAATTTACCATATCGTTCTCGATTCTTTGCCTTTGCGCAAAGAGCTTCAACTGACTGTTACTGAATGCGGGAAAGAAGTAGGTATAGATCTAAAAGTGTTCCAGCCTCCCAATGTGTCAATTGCCATTAATTTGAATTTTAGCTCAGTTTAGGAGACGACGATTAAACTAGAGCAAAAATAAGTCGTCCGTTGCGAGACTAACATAGAATGAATTAGCACGAGTCTAGGAAGAGTATAGGAAGAGCTTTGAGGGTTTCTATCAAAAATGTTTTTGAATCTATATGTTCATGAAATTGCAGGGAAGAAATATCTGCGCGATTGGTCCAGCTTCCCTCGCCCCGCCTCAGAGTTATATAATCTAGTACGTCTCGCCTACAAAAGGTTCGGTCTGAGGCAGCTTCCGAGCTGCTTCCTCCAAAACATCGTCTCCGAATCTCTGCCCCTTCTCCTTACCTTTGAATTGATCCTATCTATTCTTATTTTATTCTTATCCTTCGTTATTGCCTGCGTTAGTTATTTCGCATTACTCTTCGCTTCCATACGTACTGCCATGCTTATGTAAGATTAAGCCGGAGCATTAGCTCCCGCTTGACTACCTCTATCTTAAACTTATACATCCTCTAGCTTATCGCGAATCGCGATGCAACTGAACAATATCATGCATGGGAGTTGCACACGATGACCTCCCAATACCAGCCAAGGCGTTCGTTTCGCGGATCGCATTGCAATCAACTAATGCTTTGAATGCTTGCTAAATAAAAGAGCTAGTTGCGGAATGCCAGGGAATGAATCCATGATGCCGGATACGACATTCCACTTGATAAAAAGATCTCGGACTACAGAAAAAAGGTTGGAGCTGCAGAAATGATGGTGCCAGCAAGCGAACGTCTATATATACTTAGTCATTGTTACTCAAGCGTTATACTTATTGCTTGTGTTGCCTTTCTATTCGCTCATTCCTTGCACGTGGGATAGCACATTGCAAACATATCTATCCTATGCTTTCTAATCTCCTTTTGTACATTTCTACAAGTAGTCTAAATTCCACAAGATACCAAAACATCATTTTTGTTTAGCTTATCATCATCATAGTTTCTTTTTCATGTTGGTTTGCGTCGTTGTTTATGTATATATCTCAAGGGGAGTGAGGGTTCAATTACCCAAGTTTGAGGTAATCGGCAATAAACATGTGTCGTTTGTGTTGTGATGGTTGGTGTGGTTCAACTGGCAAGGTTGTGGCAACCTTTGCATACTTCATTTCTTACTTAACCAATTCTATGCTTTCATTCTGCCCCGCTATTTGTTGTCTGCCGCTATACCTTTACAGCCTATGCTTTTCTACGATTGCATGATAAATGCCTAATAAAAAATTGACTATCATATATGCCGGTTGCGATAGTTGGAAGTAGGCGTTACTGGAAAAGTCCAGCTATTGCCCACTCATAGTTTAGCAACATCCAAACATAATCGTTACATGAAGGTTCCGCACCGCCTGGTACTAATACAAAACTCGGTTAAAAAACAAAATTTTTCCTACCTCTAACCTATTATGAAACGATATCCTATTACCTATTCAATTTTCTAAAGCGCATTTTCTAAAGCGCAAAGCACATCCATTCTATTGCGAGGCTACATAAAAATGAATTACAGTAAATTTACGTGACTGGAGCAAAACTGCTCACTATTTTCATGGCGTAGTAAAGCCTGGCTAGGTCGTCTCAGCGCCACCCTCGCAAATAACGTAAATCAAGAACAAGTCAACCCATTGACGACGATGTGGACCACCGGTGGCCTACGCACTTTTTGCTGCCAAGGGCGATGTGAACCACCGGTGGCCCACATTTCTTGCAAAGTCATATAATTTGTAGGTCTAGTATTTTTTCACATATGAATATTTTTTCCAATTTTTTTGCACTCTTGGGACTTGTAGACTTCGTTATTCAAGAACATGTTTATACTTTTTTACAAAGCAACCTTGCATTTCATTAATAATCACAAAACCTACCCACACCGAAATGTTGTGCAAAATCACAGCGCCGACACGCAAAATTAGGTGTCGTCATCAATGGGTTAAGTAACCAATGTGCGCAATAACAAGTATATTCAAGTATATCAAAACCTCCAACAGTTTTAACCAGGGTAAAGCGGGGGTGCGGCACACGACCGTCGGATACGCCCCCCCCCCTTTGGCCGGACTTCGGCACGACCCCCGCCCATTCCCTACCCCCCCCCCCCCAAATCAGCAAAACGAGCTACCGGCTTTTCAAAGACGATTGATCCACTTTTATCCCCTATGTGAATTTGAAAATAATGCATAGCAGACAAATCACTGATGCAGACAGTCGCGATAGTATAAATGGTACTGACAACTCAGACCAAGCTATTTCCAATCGCTTTGTTTCTTAGTTCTGTAAAAGAGAATCCGCAAACCGATTAATTCTATTAGTAGGCATGGATTTACACTAACTCCAGCGAGAACACTTTTCAGTATAAAAGACTAGTTCGCGAAGCGCCGCAATTTGGGTGCATCTAATAGTAAATCTCTGTGCATGACTAGTAAGCTAGCACAGTGACTTGGCTCCCTGGGGAAGTAAAGGAGGCACACAGGTATATGATTGCTTAGAATAGCAGGATTAAGCGACACATGAGACAAGAGAAATTTAAACGCACATCAGGCTTCCAATAATGGAGACAACGGAGAAGGATAGGGGGATTGAATAAAGAATGTAAAATTTCGTTTAATGGTGAGCTGACCACAACCACCTGGAAAACGAACATGACAGAAAAATCTTTACATCATTGGAGAAATGAAAACCCACGTCAGAAAAAGACACATGCTAGTTGATTATGTGAATAATAACCACCCGACCAATGCATGCCTAGCTTTATGATAGGCTACAACTTCACGCTCTTCTTCGACTAACGAACGTGACCTCTTTCAGCACCTGCAACCAGAATATATTGGAAATTCACGACGAAGCAGAAGTAAACAAACCTGCTAGAACCCGATCCATTGCGTACTCAAGCTCATTCACAGAAACTACATGCTTTCCTGTGGAGGCAGCTCGTATAGCAGCTTCGTTGACGACACTAGCAATATCAGCGCCTGTAAAAGATACGAGTTTCAAAGGTTTTCTAAGTAACAATGGACAGCCGACTGAATGGAAAGAGATTGATGGAGCAAGTGTCAAGCAGAGAGATGAACGGGTTTTACAATGTTTAGCTCTTACGTTAGTGAAGTTTTGCAAAAGCGCTCTAATCGGCCCATTGGCGAACAGTATGATACTTGGAATAATTGAATGGACATAATAGAGAGACACTTTATTGATTACTATCCATCTCCAAAGACAAACCGAGAATGGCATGGTATTAGGGTGAACGGTAAAAAATGGGACAGCTTGATTTTCATTACATTTTGGAATTTTTTGTTTCTGGCAACAGCAAGTAAGCAGCAACTTAAACGTCGCTTACATGGGCGACCTTCGCTTATTATTCTGACAACGCGTTAACGCTCCTCTTCCACTACCCTACACGTGGCGCCGTGAACAACTCGAACAGGGTTTTTTGGACAATCCTCAATCTTGCGCTGTTATACCGTAAAGTCGTAAAGAAATTGACATACCATTCGAAAGAGCTTTTCATGCTCTTTCGAACGATGGGTTAAATGCATGAGATTTCTTTTCATTTTCAGAAAAAAAATCGAAAAAAAACCTGGAAAATAGCTATTTTTGGCGCAACAAAAACCAAAAAATCATGTTTTGCCCTATATTTTTCGAAGATAGATAAAATCTGAAGTAAGCTGCATATGGATGGATAGAGCGTAAAAAGCTTTATCAGATGATACCTAGAAATCGTGCGTTTACCTGCAAAGAATTGAATTACGCGTATCTTTGTTCTCGAAGCTGTTAATGGGCATATCTCCTGACATTGAGAGTTGAAGCCACCAAGCCGTCGTGGGTTTCGTGACTGTCCCACTACTCACTCCAGCAGTGGTACTTTGGGTGGTCTCACATGTTTCACTGCGCCGATACTGCTCAAACTTCATAATTTCTCGAAGTAACTAACTTTGCATTCTAGCAAGTATAAAAATTATCCATTACTTAAATGACCTTATATAGGTGCTATCTGAAAGAGAATAATTTATTCTATTATACATCAAAATTGGAAAGTTCAGTCACTTTTCTTCCTTGAGAAATCTGCAATTATTCTCAAGGTGTCCCATTTTTTACCGTTCACCCATAATTATCGGTGGAAACAGAGCTATTTGGAAACATACCAGTAAAACCCGGCGTCATCTGGGCTAGACGATGAGAAAATTTGTTGTAAGGATGGTCAAGTTTGATCTTCTTCAGGTACAGATCGAACATTTCTTTTCGCTCAATGACTGCAGGCAAATCTATACTTATGTGAAGGTCAAATCGACCAGGTCGTAGTAAAGCCTATAAAATTCCGCATCAAACTTCCAAATGGGCAGGAAATGGAACTTACTTTGTCCAATCCGGGCGATTAGTGCTCTCAAGAACAACAATACTCTGGCCACTTCCCATTCCATCCATTTCAACCAGAAGCTGGTTCAGCGTTTGTTCTACAGTCGAAAAGCCATCACTAAGAGCAAGGAACAGAAAAATATTGATGCAAGAAAGTAAAGCAATGAATTGGGACTTCTTACCGCCAAGTTCGCCTGCTTTTGATTCGCTTCTCTTCTTTCCTATGGCGTCTATTTCATCAATGTAGATTATACATGGCGAGCCCACGAATGCGCGATGCACCAAGACCTGAACTCTTTCTTCAACAAATCGCAAGAATCCGATCAAACAAGTTGTATGCCTATATCGCGACGCAGATGGATTCTGCGTGCCGAAGTGAGTCAAGCGCGTATGGTCAAGAAAATAGGACATGCTTTACATCACTTTGAAGTAACTCAAATGAAGGTAACCACAAGTTAAACTTGATAATTATGCAAGTAGGAAACGTTGTGAAGCCGCGTACAAGTGCAATAAAAAACTCTAAAAAATCTCCTAATTGTAAGGAAAACACACATACCGCCAATAACTTCCACAAACTCGGACCCGTTCATTGAGATAAATGATGCTATCGATTCAGCTGCCAAAGCTTCCGCAATGAGAGTCTTTCCACATCCAGGAGGACCGGTGAGCAATGCACCACGAGGTAGCTTCGCACCCAATTTCTAAAAACGAAATTGACACCTAAAATCTTTGATTCTGCATAACTTCTTATTTACCGTATATTTGTTCGGGTTTTTGAGATAGTCCACGAATTCACTGATTTTTTGTTTGGCTTCAAAGCAAGCAACCAGCAATATCCTATATGATGGCAATGAATGATGGCATTATGAACGGAAAGCTGAAATTTTTAAATAAGTAATCGATGCTGTACCTTGAACTTGATCCTAAGTTGCTTTGATAGAGAAAAGAGAAAAAGGTGTAAGCGCCATTCCATTTTTGGGAGGAATCAAGAGCCAGACTGTAGATTTGTCGTCCCATTTCCTTAAAAGGTCTCGGTTCTGAAAGAAAGGCCTCATATAAGAACCGACGAAAAGAAGTACAAATTCAAAAACAATGGAAGGCATCCAAATTATTCAGCTTGCCGCCTTTCTGCATCGTTTACGCATTTACGCAGAAAGGCAGTAAGATGAATTTGTGTGCTACCGTAATCCGATAGTTTGGAAGCCGCACGATGGATGGTAGTTAGTAGAAAAAGCGCTATATCTCATTCTGTGCAGGAAAGTTTTGGATAAAATCGTACTATAGAAGGTTGAGCGGTAGCAACGACATTGAAATCGTAGACATTCAACGGCTTGAGGGGGGGGCCGCACCCCATTGACTATATCGAAAAGACATTTTTAGTAAACATTATTTTTATGAATCGATAGCCTAAACCTCGTAGATTCCATAGGAATGTTTTGAGCCTGATTCGTCTTCCTAGCTCTGAGTAATATTTGGTGAAAGCACAGCCATTGAAAGCGAAAAATGGGAAAAACGAGATTTTGGTTGGCTTTTAATCCCACAGTTTGCAGGTCTTCTGAAGCGGGATTCCTGAGGACAAAGAAGGAGTAGTGCTTTGTCTTGAGTGCAAAAGCGGATAGCTAATTCACTTTAGAAACAAAGTTGATTATGTTCGAAAATGACCATTTCACTTGGGTGACCCAATACTTGGAAACCTCAGAATTCGCTGAAACTTGGCCCATAGGGGTTATTTGACATGCTAGATACGAAAATGATGCTCTCACGCTTTTAGGGCTTTCTTATCATGCTTAATTTATGTATAATGGTAGGCTAAACCATCAGTGTGCTAGCGTTTGGCATAATGGGTCTATCTGACATTGTTTCGAATATTATGTTAATGCTTACAGTCGAGTAGATTTCCTGCTTAATATAGTGTCTCTGCAGACGCGACAACGCTGGGGCATCAATAATTGCCTGACGAGCTCTCGAACTAGTGTTTCCAGTGTTTTCTTTGCTTATTCTATGCTTTCTAGGTGATTCAGTGTTGCTGATAAGAAGAAAAGGGTAAGCTAGAGAGTAGTTTCTGATTTCTGAGAAGTTTTATCATTGCATATTCACAGATATACACGTGGAAGCAGTTCGCGTCAGCTTCTTGTCTATTTTTTTGTCACTTCATGTCTCTTTCTTCTTGTGAGGTACTTCTTTGAACGCTAGTGGTTTTTACGATTGACTTATTATCTTTATCACATGAAGTAATTGATTAAAATACTCTTATGGAAGAAAGCCGAAGGCTGCAAGATAAGCCAACTAGCGTTCAAAGAAACGCCTCACAAGAAGAAGGTTTGAAAGAAGAAGTGACAGGAGAAAAGGAAATGACAAGCGATGATAGAACTTCTTACAAGGGAGGTTCGATTAGTCGAAGTGGCCTTCCCGAATGTGTCATATATCATCTTTAAGAGCTTTAAACGCTGATTCCGAATCTGTCTCCGTCATGTGCCGAGCGCCTCTGGACGCCGAGTTATGAGAGTTTTTTGGGTTGGAAAATTGAATGCGAAATTGGAACAAAATTAGTCAAAATTGCTCAAATGGTCCAATTTTGATTATCAAAGCGTTCCATTTAAAGAACACCTTCTGTCCAAAACAGTCATACTACATACTGCTCTATTTTCAGCGCTGAAAAATCCGTAACAGTTGATTTTACATGAATTCTGCATTTATTTTTCGCTCCAAAAACATTCATAACTCGGCTCGCAGAGGCGCTCGGCAGATTATAAAATCAGATTCGGAATCGGCGTTCAACGCTCTTTTAGATGGTGTATGATTCATTTGGAAAGGCCACTTCGACTAATCGGACCTCCCTTGTCAGAAAACAGAAACTACTCTTTAACTTACCCTTTGTCATGAATCCCCAATTCATGATTTATTACGATGTCGATGTGCGTTCCCACAGTGACGGGAAATGTTTAACATTATGTTTTGAGAACAGCAATAGGTCTTAAGGGGAGCCGAGGGAAACGGGGGCAGGTAAGATGGGCAAGCTGCCTCGTCCCTGACAGGCGAGGAACCTGGCAAATGGTAAATCACACTAGGTAAGGCAACTCAATATTATAGAAATATATGTCTTTGTCATTGTGCAAGTTGTAAATAAATATTTTACTTGTGGATCGTATTTCACCCAAAGAAATCGTACTGGAATAGTACGAACATGGTGCATCGGCCAAACACGAAGAAAGGCCGTATACAAGCGTGGCAAAAATCGGCAAGGTAAAGCAAGGTAACAGGAAATATAGCGTGAAGTGCTCTGGAAGGACCCACCGGAGCAAATGTTCCTTAAGCCATGTCTACCTTGCAAGAAAAAAAAATAGAATAGAAGCGCTTCATAAATATTATTACGCAGCTGCCTCAAAGAAAAGTACCGGAAGGGTACAAAAGTCCAAAGGAAAAGTACCGGAAGGGTACAAAAGTTTAAAAGAAAAGTACCGGAAGGGTACAAAAGTAAAAAAGAAAAGTACCGGAAGGGTACAAAAGTTTAAAAGAAAAGTACCGGAAGGGTACAAAAGTAAAAAAGAAAAGTACCGGAAGGGTACAAAAGTTAAAAAGAAAAGTACCGGAAGGGTACAAAAGTTCCGGAAGGGTACAAAAGTTTAAAAGAAAAGTACCGGAAGGGTACAAAAGTAAAAAAGAGAAGTACCGGAAGGGTACAAAAGTTTAAAAGAAAAGTACCGGAAGGGTACAAAAGTTTAAAAGAAAAGTACCGGAAGGGTACAAAAATTGAAAAAAAAGTACCGGAAGGGTACAAAGTTTTAAATGAAGAGTACCGGAAAGGTACAAAGTTCTAAACGACGAGTACCGAAAAGTTACAAAATTTCTCCGACGAGTACCGGAAGGGTACAAAAGTACCGGAAGGGTACGACATTATCAAAAAAAAATTGGAATGTCACATTAAAATCTCAAAACAAATATAATTCTCAAAACAAAAGTGTCTCGCAAGAGATTTATTGATATGCAAAGTGCAAACATTGAAGGTATCTCACAAGATGAAAAATAGATAAGCACATGAGAAACACAACAAAAACAAGAGACAGTACAAAAGGAAGTCAAGCCGACGAGACTCCAGTTGAAAATTTTCTTCATTTGAGACCACCTCGACTGACGATCGACGTTTCGACGTAATGTCCATTACAGCTTTCAACCTAAAAGGAGCAAAGCAAAGACTAACTCGACAACTCAATGAGTTGGGAAAAATGCTACAAGAAGCTGAAGAATATGCTCAACCATGGCAATTTCCCACAGTAATGCAAGACTTGGAAAACTTTTTGGCAACAAAACCAATTATAGTAAAAGCATTGAGCAAAAGAATGGAAAGCAAGAAAGAGAACATATGGCAATTTTACAATGAATGTGTAAGTAACATCAATACCTCTGAAGAAAAATTAGGAGAGGATGGAAATGTAAAAGGTAACTTTGAACAATACTGGGAAGAAAAAAGAGGAGAATTTTGGTTGGAGACCACCTCCGAGGTAATTGACAATCTAGAAAAGAGGATCATAGAACTCCAATGCCAAGAAGCTCTGTTGAAAAAAGAACAGGAAAAACGTAAACAGAATGAAAATGACCGAACCACCATCGTAGGTCACCGTTTGTTCGGAAACGAATTGAAAATCCCAGAATTTGACGGTAAAACAACGGAGTTTGATTCATTCTGGGAACTTTTCGAAGAATTAGTTCACAAACAACCCTATTCTAATATTGAAAAATTTTCAATTCTTCTCAATTGTTGCAAAGGAGACGCCGCAAGAACTTTGAGGATGATACCAAGAACGGGAAGTTCATATGAAACAGCAATAAACCAATTAAAACTTCTGTACCAAGATCCCAAAAGAACCACCATGACAATGATAAGGCAATTAAAAAATATGAAACAATCTAAAGACGATGCCAGGTCGCTCAGAAACACACTCAGTGATATAGAAACAATAATTGCAACTTTACGCAGAAACGGTGAGTGCGTCGACACCACACAAATGATAAGTATGGTAATCGAAACATTCCCCAAAACCGTACAACAGGAAATTCTCAGGAAAGAATTTGACTCAGGTAAACAATGGTCAGTTGCAGAACTCTTGCAGAATATATCCCTCATTGCAAAAAGAAACGAACATTTGGAAAACCGCATACAAGAGGAGAATCCAGAATACTCAATGTTTACACTGAATACAAGAAGAAATACCACATGCATTGGATGCAACGGAAATCATTACTTCAAAAACTGTACCAAATACAGAACTCCTCCACAAAAAATTGAACGCCTCAAGATAACAAAAGCTTGCTGGAAATGCTTTAGTCTCAAGCATCACACGAAATTGTGTGAGCGCGCGAACTGTCCCAAATGTGGTGGATACCACAACATAGCAGTTTGTCGATACAATCAAACGCCACAAAACACCTATACACACATTACAGATAGATCAAGAAGACTTTCCAGGACCCCAAGAAGATTCTCCAGAAGCCCAAGAAGAATTTCCAGAAGCCCAAGAAGAATTTCCAGAAGCCTGACAAGAAGAGACACTCCTCCCAAAGAAACAGTGTTGAGATCACGCAGCAGCTCCAGTGAAAGGACGACAGCTACAAGGAATTCGCCCAAACCATTTCACGTGAGTTGGAAAGACCAACATAAAGAAATTACGAGTGAACCTCATTTTTCCAAACCCCCAAGCAAAGATCGTAGATATAATATACATTTTGCGGCACTAAACACTGAGAATAATGACGAAGGGAAGGAGTTATCGGACAATCAACTGACACAATTTGAGGACTCAGATATACAAGAACATGTTCGTCTCATGTCTGTACCTATTCAAGTACTCAATCACGGTAACGGGAAGCTAGAAACCGTTATAGGGTTGCTGGATTCAGCAGCGGATCAATCATTCATCACAAAAAGCCTAGCTAATAGATTATCGCTGCCAATAGGAGTAGAAAGGGTAATAAAAATCGCAACCTTTGGAGGAAAGGCAGAAGTACACCGAGTCCGAAAGGCAACAGTAGACTTGTATAACAACGAAGGGCAGTGCATAAAAGCAAACCTGCTCACACACGACAAAATCACCACAAGCTTAGAATTAGGCAAGTTATCCTACCTAGATAAAAAGATGTTGATGGAAATGTTCCCAGGTAACGTAAACATACTATTACAAGGAAGTGTTTATCCGGAAATTCTCATAGGAATTGATTACTTCAATTATGTTTTGGAATATAACGAACCTCTCACACGGTTACCATCGGGATTGGTTGTCACCCAAACCTTCTTCGGACCAGTAATTTCAGGAGTTCAAAATCCCAACAATATCGAATCTGAAATCACGACAATATACAATCAGTTGATCTGTTCAACTTCTAATAATCAACAGCAACAATTAGGCACCCCTGGTTCACACCAGGATTATTCAGAACTATGGAAGTTGCCAGGAATTGGCACAGAAGAACTAGTAAATGAAGAAGAGGAAACAAAACAAGTTGTGGAAAAATTCTACTCTACAGTGGAAATACATGACAAGAAAATATACGTGTGCTTCCCTTGGAAAACAAACAAAAATAACCTCTCAGACAATTATAGCCTAGCCTTGAGCAGATTACATCAATTATTTAAAATGAGAGAGAAAAATATAAAGTGTTGGAAGGAATATTGCGACATAATAAGTGATCAACTTGCAAAAAACTTTATTGAAGATGCAAAAAACGAGCCAAAAGGAGACAATCCTTGGTACTACATCCCACATCAAGCAGTAATAAAGATGACAAGTGAAACAACTAAAACTAGAATAGTCCTCGATGCATCGTCCAAAATGTCTGGAGAATTAAGCCTCAATGATGTGATACATCAAGGACCGATGTTGCTTCCGAGCCTTATAGGCATTCTATTGAGAGCTCGCATCGGAAAAAAGGTAATGATAGCCGATGTAGAAAAGGCATTTCACATGATACATTTACATAAATCAGAAAGAAACTCGGTAAGATTTCTTTGGCTGAACGATACTTCGAAACCGCCCGTAAACGGCAATATCCGAATACTTAGATTCTGCCGTCTACCTTTCGGCATAAATGCTTCACCCTTTCTTTTGGGTATATCTATCAAATACGGATTATCAAAACAAAAGAATATAAAGAAGGAAATTCATGACGAACTTCAAGCAAATTTATATGTTGACAATGTCCTCATGATCGACGAAACAACAGAATCATTGATAGAAAAATATAAAGTATGCAAGCAAGCTTTCAACGAAATGTCCATGAATTTACGCCAATTTCTAACAAATGATCACAAATGCAATACACTCATTGCTAAAGAAGACTTTTCTACAAGTAAATCCCCAAAAATTCTAGGAATATCTTGGAATCCAAAGACAGATAATCTAATAATGGAATGCAAATTGAAATATTCCGCAAACTGCACTAAAAGGAAAATACTACAAAATGTTCACGGAACCTTTGATCCCTTAGGTTACCTTTCCCCGTTATTACTCAAAGCAAAACTATTCCTACAAAAACTTTGGAAATTGAAACGTAACTGGGACGAATTATTGAAGTCAGAAGAGGACCGGGAGTGGCAAAACATTTGCAGCAACATGTCGGGATACGTAACAACAATCCCACGTTCTATTACGTCACGCAAAACAACAACGCGTTACGAACTACATACATTCACAGACGCATCACTCGAAGCTTACGCAGCAGTCATATACCTACGCGCCATAAATTATGAGAATATTGAGAACAAACTTTTTATGGCCCGTCAAAGAATGACTCCAATCAAAAATAAATCATTGACAATCCCCAGATTAGAATTATTAGCAATTCAAATAGGAATCCGTATGACGGACTTTGTACTGGGAGAGATGCCTACACCAATTTCAACAATTAGCATATACAGTGACTCTCAAGTAGCATTACATTGGATACAATCACAGGAAAATAACGGAATTTTCGTTCAAAATAGAATAAGATATGTAAAAAAGACAATGGAAATTTGGCACAAGGACAAGCAAATACATCTTCGCTATATTTCATCAAAAGAGAACCCAGCCGATTGTGCCACAAGAGGTTTATCAAAATATCAAATGGATAATTCCTTGTGGTGGCATGGACCAACCTTCCTAACACTACAAGACAAAAACTGGCCTACTTTCGAATCATTTACATGGCAAAATGAAAAGAAAGAAAACTCAGAAAGCGATAATGATGGCATACAAAAAACAAACCAATTATTGACTAATATAGACAAGCGGGAATACCTCCGTCTGGAAGAATACTCAGACATTAAGAAATGTGAAAGAGTCACAGCCTTAGTACTCAAAGCATTGAAAATGATAATATACAATAAACTTTCCCAAGACAAACAAAACAAATTGAAAATAGCCATACCTGAAATCACAGCCATAGGCGAACAGAAACCACTCGCCGCTTGCAAGGCCCATGATATTGAGACTGCTGAAATAGCTATCATAAAATTAATTCAAAAGACAAACAATAAACAAAACAATAAATATCCAGAATTAGGACTATTTGAAGACGAAAAAGGTATTTTACGCTGCAGAGGCAGAGTCAAGCAAGCAGGATGGCTAAGAGACACACAAGAACCTATCCTTTTGGATCCACAACATCCCCTAACAAAAGCTATCATCAGAGAATATCATCAAAATTGCGGCCATCAGGGCACCAATGCCACTCTCGCAAATGTACGAACGAGATTTTGGATACCAAGGGGACGACAAGTGATAAAAAGTTGTTTAAATAAATGTGTAACTTGCAAAAGATGGAATGGACGACCATACCTGTATCCGGATTCCCCTTCTTTGCCAAATCAACGCACAAATCCTTGCCGCCCATTTCAACATGTGGGAATTGATTTGGCGGGACCATTCCGTACGATAACTGAAACAAAAGAAAATAAAAGATGGATTGTTTTGATAACATGCATGACAACGAGAGCTATACATCTCGAAGTGGTAAACAATTTGAGCGCGATGCAATTAGTAGACGCGTTACGACGATTTTCAGCACGAAGAGGTCAACCGCAAACAATTATCTCCGACAATGCGACTAATTTGAAATTAGGAAAAGACATTGTCGAAGAAATACAAAAGGGAAGTAATAGTGAACAATTTGGAAAAATTCTAGCAATAAGAAAAACTCAATGGAAATTTATAACTCCCCTTTCCCCTTGGAAAGGAGGATTTTACGAACGTCTTATAGGAGCATTGAAATCAACCCTTCGAAAGACAATTGGTCGCAAAATCCCGAACACAAACGAATTCGAAACAATTGTGATAGAATGCGAGGCAATGGTGAATTCAAGACCTTTGACGTATGCCGGAAGTACAGTAGAAGACTCCGTCATTCTACGCCCTATTGACTTTTTGTCCCCGCATGCGCAAGTTGAACTCCTGCCAGCACAGGACCACGCAACACAATGCGATAATGAGTCATACATTCCATCGATTTCAACAAAAACTCAGGCAATCAAATATTACGAGAAAATAACAACATTATTGAACAATCTTTGGAGATTATGGAACCAACAATACTTACTCGAGCTTAGAAATCATCACCAAAGGAGAATACGTCAAAAACAATTTACTCGAAAACATCCCAAAAGAGGTGAAGTGGTTCTTATTATGGACGACAACCAATCGAAAGGAGAATGGAACTTAGGATTAGTCGTAGATCTAATAGAAGACAACGATGGTCAAATTAGATCTGTAAAATTGAAAACTGCAAAATCTATAATGGAACGTTCAGTAAATATGCTCATTCCACTAGAATTGGACGAAGAAATCAAAGAAAATACGAAAAATGAAAAACTAGAATTCTCAAGTGAAGAGTCCGTTGAAACAAACAAAGAAGAGGGTACACAGCGACCAAATGAAGTGTCAGCCAACGAAAAATCGACTAAACGAGAGAGGCAACGCATATTTTTGCCGAGAACAGCCAAAGAAAACAAAAACTACGCGACCACTACAACAACAAAGGAACTCGCGCAAAGCACGTCATTATTGCGGTGGCATTATTGGCTGATGACGCTATTGATCGCCTTAAACATAACCAAAACAAACGCAACAAAAGAGAAACAAACGGAAATCGAATGCACTAAAGGAGGAGTAATAATATCATTAACGACTGTACCAAAAACCATAGAAATTTGCGGAAATGAACACTGTTTGGAAATAAAAGAGCCAGAACAGTTGTTCACAGTACAATTTCCTCCCGAGATAACACTACATACCTACCAAGTACACACAAAATATTTTCAAGGCAATACCACGAAAACAAATTATTGGGCATGTCCACCAAGTCCTTACTGTGAACAAATAACATGCAACTTCTGTGCAACAATGATTTCAAATCCAGAATGCTGGCCGCACATAGCGATAGGAGTGTCGGCCTTAATCTTATACTTAGGCATAATTATTATATATGTATTTGGAAAAGCAATGAAACGAATCATGAGAATTATCATTACGATTTTACATAAACTTTGGCTGCTCAGATACATTTTCACAACAAGATACACGACAGAAGATGTTGTTCCTCTTGTAGTTTATGATCAAAGGAAAAGAAAATGGGAACCATCAACCCTAATAAAAATACTAGCTCTAAGCACAGCAATCTTATACACCGCTCAAGCTTGCCAACAAAATATAATCGTTCCAGCATCGGTTGTACAGTGCACTAACAACAATAATAATTGCTCAACATGCAAAACAATTATCGCGAAGCTGAGTTCTTTACAGCCAGAACTCTGCCTACATCTAGAAAGTGGAGAAGATATTCAACACATCGTTAAAATAACTTTGAAGGAAATTGTTTTACGATGCTACAAGGAAACACTGTACTTTACACGAAACACAGAGGCACGAGTACAATACCGCAAGAGATGCCCGCATATGGGATCGTGCACAGGTAAAAAATGTGCAGCGATAACTCCGGAAAGCAAGATAAAAGAACTAGAAGCGGCAAATAATTATTCAGGAATTACTTACTGTTCGGAATCCTGTGGGGGATTAGGCTGCTCTTGCGGGTACCCCTCCTCAGGATGTCTTTTTTACAGAATATACCACGTACCCTATGACGATGCAATATACGAAGTGTTTGAATGCCCGGCTTGGCACAAAAAAGTAACATTAATCTACGAAGAATTTCAAGACGACAACCCTTTGAGATACAAAGTGGAAATGACACCAGAGGTAACAAAGCAACTCGGAAATTCTAAAATCACAGTCACATCTATGAATTGGGATCCAATTACCCTATTGTCAAAAAGATTTATAACCGACTCAAAGAATACAGCATATTTGGAAAACCAAGTCACCTTTAGTTACGCATGCCAAAATTTCACAACAACAAAAACCTGCAATGTTAAAGATACATGCAAATGCAACCCAGCAGAAGATTATGTAAACTGTTATTGCAACAACAACAATGTAACAAACACTATGCAACTTTATAATACATTACCCGTTCCATTACCAAATGGGGCTATTACAACTGAGGGAAAACAAAAAATACCCACCGTAAGAGTAAGCTCAACGTTTACCGAAATAGCCATTCTACTTGATAATTCCATTAGGAAAGTAAAACAAAAAATAACAGAATTTTCTTGTAATATACGTTCAAAAGAAATTATAGGATGTTACAATTGCTGGAAAGGAGCCATGGTAACAATAACGTGTTACGCAAATATCCCACAAGCTGTAACTCAAGTAAACTGTAAAACACATCAGTTCTTGATCAGCTGCTCTCAAGAAGGTAAAGAAAACAATATTCGGCTTTACTTCAATATGGCGCAAATTAAAGAGCAATGCGAAGTAAAATGTGGCAAACAACGCCTCGTTTTTGACATAAAAGGAACGCTCAACTATATCAACGGCATAAGACCATTCATTCATTATGTAAAAGCATGGGGTAATACTACAAAAGGTAATGAATTATTCGATTTCCAATTTCCTGATTTCCTCCACATCCTCGATATTTACAAAAGCTACGTGCTGTATACTGTAGCCATGTTCGCCGCGCTGACATTCTTGGTAGTTATCAGCGCGATCTTTCTGAGCAAGTGCTCAGCGAGTGCGAAAGAAAACAAAGCCAAAGGCAAAGTCGTATCAACATCGACGATCATTAGCTTGATTCCGCCATTGAGAGCGGCCGTCATTCTCCTTAAGCTTTTGAAACTTTCTTTTAGAATCCCATTTTTTCTTTTTAAACATTCAATTCGTATCATACAAAAATTCTGATTTTGCTCAATGTTTGCTGTTTGTTTTTTTCAATGTTTTTACTCGCCGTTTGCTCCTATGCAATTACAAGAAACTAGGTAACTTATCAAAACAATTGCAGACATGTCGCAACCCGACCGAGAAGAACCAATAGAGGAGCACATGGACGTTCAACCAAATCAAGAAGAACAACGAATACCTGTTGAAGTCAACGTCCACGAACTGTTCGATGAGCCAAATCCACCAGCACCAATCGAATGGCAAGGTCTCTTGCCCTCAATGGAGAGAAGGATCAAGAAAATCGAGGAAACCATGTCAAGCAATTTTGGGAAAATCAACAAGAAATTGGACTGGTGCCTGGTGAGTCTCCAAACTTCAACTTGATTATTTATAAGGTAAATTTTTTATGTTATTCAAGAGCCATAAAAGAAAAATGAATGAAAAGACGGAAGGAGAAATCAAAAAAGCAAAATTATCTAAGGTACTAGAATAAGAACAAAACAAGAATAAAATAAGGTTTATATCAATGGTCTATATTTTTCAGGACAATCAAGAGGACATAATAGGCAATGAACTTGACAAGATCAGACGTCAATTGAAATCGCTAACAAATGCTGTGTACGAAGAGATAGACTATGGCCACGGCAAACCAGTCACCGAAAGAATAGCAAAGGAAAGGACGCCTTCACCTCAACCAGGACCGTCTGGACAAGCAAAACAACAAGGCAATTCAAATATACCACCTTATTCCTGTATTTTTTGCGATGGCCAACATTGGGCCACAAATTGTGATGTTTACACCACTTTGTCGGGCCGTAGGCAACGCCTACACGAAAAAAACAAATGTGAAAGATGCTTCGGTAAAGCAAATCATCTTGTAACTGAGTGCACAGCAAAAAACCAATGTTTTTACTGCAAAAAGTTAGGTAGGGGTGAGGTAACAACTCACCACAGTGCACTTTGTCCTGCAAATTTTCAATTTTAAGCGTAACAAAGGAAACAAAAATCAATTTCAATTGTCCAATTCTTTCACTCTAAAGTAAGACAATTTCAGTATCAAAGTAATCATTGTATCAGTTGTAATGTTATGATCATGTATCTTGTTTCATTATTGTTAGCTTATTGTATCACCGTATCATTTATCATTTAACATGTATCACTTTGCTAGCACTCATCACGTATCAGTTATCAGTTATTGTCACATATCATATCACTTATCAGTTATCAGTTATCACTTATCATATCACTTATCAATTATCAATTATCAATTATCATATCACTTATCAGTTATCAGTTATCACTTATCATATCACTTATCAATTATCAATTATCAATTATCATATCACTTATCAGTTATCACTTATCACTTATCATATCACTTATCAATTATCATATCAATTGTCAATCAACAATTATCAGTTGTCAAGTGTCAATAAAGGAAAACCAATAAAGGAATAAACTCACTAGTCTACTACACTTATAGCATCAACATCAATCACGACATTTAGTACAACAAAATCATATAACACTATAAAAAAACAAAAAAAAAAAAGAACGCGCAGTCCCTCGCTACCATGTCGTCATCATCATCATCAACGGCGAATCGGAAAAATCTCCGTCATCAATTGAAGTATTCATTGTGTATTGTAGTTTAAATGTAATTTGAATTTTGAAATTGCTTATTATGAGAAGTATGCATTGTATATTGTAATGCAAATGTAATTTTGATCGCTTATCATAAGATGGTAACAAAAAAAAACAAAAAAAAAACACCAACAACAACAACAACAAAATTTTTTTTTCCTTTCTTTTGTGTGCGGGGAGTGTCATGAATCCCCAATTCATGATTTATTACGATGTCGATGTGCGTTCCCACAGTGACGGGAAATGTTTAACATTATGTTTTGAGAACAGCAATAGGTCTTAAGGGGAGCCGAGGGAAACGGGGGGCAGGTAAGATGGGCAAGCTGCCTCGTCCCTGACAGGCGAGGAACCTGGCAAATGGTAAATCACACTAGGTAAGGCAACTCAATATTATAGAAATATATGTCTTTGTCATTGTGCAAGTTGTAAATAAATATTTTACTTGTGGATCGTATTTCACCCAAAGAAATCGTACTGGAATAGTACGAACACCCTTCTCCTCTTTATCAACGAATCAACTAAAAAGCATGGAATAAGCAAAGAAAACGCTGAAAAACACTAGCTCGGAAACTCGCAAGGCATTTATCGACGCCCCAGCGTTGTCGCGTTGCAGGGACACTATATTAAGCAGGAAATCTACTCGACTGTACTTAGTACAGCCTCGATAACGACCTCCCCCCCTTCCTGACCTTTCAATACGACCCACCAGGTGTGGCGTGCCGCACCCCCCGCAAAATCCTGGTTCCAACCACCACTTTCTAACATTTTCCCATGGCATTCACTTTGATCACATCACTCATTCATACACAAAGAGTATAATATAAACAAAGCAAAAGAGCATAATCCCAACCGTCAACCACAGACATCTGCCTAAGGCCTTAGGCCAAAGGCATACCTCCCGCGATCCTAGGCGCGTTGCAAATTCCAACTCGGACATATGTTCCGAGTCCACAGCGCAGGCGCCTTCAAGTGCGTGTCCCGCCGCGTCTATGTTAGAGTGACGAAGTGACGGATCACGGGCCGTTTTTGGACGGGCATACCTCAGTAGGGAAATTGTCGCGACATCGCTGAAACTTCCAACTCAGCGATGAGCGAATCGCTCAAATAGCTTCTTCTTTGTTATGAAGTTTTGTATTTTTTGCAAATGCAAATTTCATCTAGGACTATTCCTTCTCACACAAGCGCTTCCTCTCTCCATGAGAGAAGGTAGGTCATCTAACATTCCATACTATAAATCCTTAAAAACCACATGAGGTCATCTAACATTCCATACTATAAATCCTTAAGAACCACATGCAAAGTATATAGTATGGAAAGCTTCGATATTTCACCTCACCCACTGTATTAGCATTTACTGTTCTCGCAATGCATTATATTCTCCTGTTCTTGTTTATTGATAACATGTAAATGGTGACCAAATCTCGAATGCTCTCGCTATAATTTCTTGTAGAATAGATGTCCAATCTTGATTGCTTGTATGTATAATCGTTCGCAGAATGGCAGACAAGAGCTCGCGCAGCACTCATTGCTGAAATATGCCTATCCAGAGTTTTTTGCGGAGCCGAAAGCATGGCCTTTCTGTACGAAGCTAGCATATGCCGACCGATGTCTGAAAGGTTGAACTCAAAACCTTATGAACTGTAGTCGATTTCATCGCAGATGTTAATTTGTGCCAGTACAATAACCTTGGTAAATACGAAGATGAGGTTGAATCCATACCCTGCTCGTTGCTATAATGTTTTCTGAAAGCAAATGACGCCGCATTCTGTACAAAGTTTCTTTAAATGCACTTCGGACAAACTAACGCATTTTCAAAAGTGCGTATACGGTGTGATCCGTGAATGTCTACGAAGTCGCTTTGGGTATGTCCGGTGATCAAGCGATGAGCGATTTTCACGCAATGAACGGTCGCTCAGGCAGTCCTTGTCGCAGCGATCGAAAATCGTAACGACGGGATTGCTGGAGGTATGCCTTAGGCCTAAGACGCCTTTCCCGCTGTCATCACCCCTAAGTTAAGCGTTGTTCCAGAAATAATATTTTGAAGCAGACTTTCTAATTCCCATAATCAGCATTCAATAGGGCAGATGGAAGAGTCATCGAAGGGTTTCGAAGCATCCTGATGCTCGAAAGTGAAATTTTACCACATTTTGCTACTGCGAGCAATGTCCGGCTGGTACAACGGTGCTGACATCCACGAATGTGCGGATGAGCTGCTCCGTTAACTGAAAGGCCCCGTCGCACAGGTAGAACTAGACCCAAAAGCGAAATTTTTTAGTATCGAGCAGAAATGGTTGGAGGTCGCGAAGGTCCTCATCCCTGAGAAGACCAGCTATGAGACCGATGAAAGGAGCTGGAACACAGCCCATACCGGGAAAGGTGCAGCAGCGAATGCTCAGATCTCGACTGCTCCCGCCACGAACAGCCACAGTCACCCTACTCCCCCTTGGCAATCCATCCACTACCCACCGGCCCTACGACGTCCCCTACGAGTGCGATTACGATAGCGATGGTACGGATCCCGATGCTGAAAACCATTACGGCATATATATATTATATCTCATCTTATATATAAAGCTGAATGTCTGTTTGTATGTCTGTCTGTCTGTATGTCTGTCTGTCTGTATGTATGTCTGTCTGTACGTATGTTCCAAATAGAAAATTCCATTTCTGAACCGATCTGGACCAAACTTGGCAAACATACACTTCGGGCCTCGGCGGATGTCATAGGCTACTTTTCGTCATCGATCGATATCGATTTCATTGATTTTATCGATTTTTTTGCAGAGTTTACCTACGGGGCTAAGAGTTTGCACAGGGGGTAATCGAGCATGCTGATTACGAATATAGTATTAGTTTCTAGAAGTACTTACTGCTTTTATTGATTTTATCGAATCTTTTGCAGAGTTTAGCCTAGAGGGCTGGGAGTTGGCATAGGGGTAGTCTAGCATGCTGATTACGAATAGAATATTAGTTTTCAGGATTATTGATTACTTTTATCGATTTATCGATTTTTTGCAAAGTTTGAGCTACGGGGCTGGAAGTTGGCACAGGGGGTAATCGAGCATGGGGATTCCGAATACGATATTAGTTTCAATAATTATTGATTACTTTTATCTATTTTTTTGCAAAGTTTGACTTGCGGAACTGGGAGTTTGCACAAGGGGGTAATCGAGCATGATGTTTACTAAAGCAGCGGGAATAGTTTTTGGCATGTAGGCGTGGACACAGGGGAAGATTCGTACAGGAATAGGGATAGTGTTATTTGACATAGTGTTTTGACAGGGCCGGGCGGAGCCGGGTAAGTAAGCCAGTGTACATACATTCTCGTGTTTTTTTTTAGTAAACTCTTTAGTTCTCTTTCTATCAATACATCCTTATAATCTTTCCGACGTTTCCTCATCAGCTACCATACATACACATTCTTTTGTCCAAAATCTGCTCATCAATATCATTTGCCATACAAAATTACACACATTCGTTAACAATCTCACTAGCTACACATCGCATACACGTAAGCTTTGCTACCGTATCCGAACAAATGGGCTTAGTCAAAACCGTTTGAGTAATGACCCTGCGAGAGCGGTCTCTAGCTTTTACCATCCATCAAATTAAGCGGCATACAACTTTGGTATGATATTTGAGCAGTGGCCAAGATTGGTATCGATCTTTATTTCTCGGCTAACGTTTCGGTGTACAACTCCTTCTTCGGAGCCTGAAAGATCAAAAACTATGCGAAACTGTTCTTGTAAGCACTCAGTCACCCAACAGATACTGTCCAACACATGGTAGTTGCAAGATTAAGACAGAGACCGTAACTAAGCTAATGCTTACCTCAATAGCCAGCAATGGAGACTAAGAGCAGACCACCTAATGGATAGCGCCGTTACTGTGTACTGCTATACCACTATTTATACAGCACAGATGACCTGACCTGACCCAGACCCGTAGGTCAAAAGCCACAAAGAGCTTGATACGGTGCTAATTCGGTCGTCACGGCAATGCATTCTTCTTTGCGGTTTATTTTTGGAGTTTTTGATGCTATCCAAAATGCCTCCAACGTCTTTCGCGCTACGGTATCAGGCTCCTGCGATAAGATTGTGACAGCTACGTCATAGTGTTGATCGTCATGGCGTTGCCTGCGGTGGGCACCTAGAGGGGTAGACAATTTCGATTTTTCGAGCCCGTCTAGGTGCTCCTTGACCCGAACGCACAAGGGCCTGCCGGTTTCCCCTACATACTGATCTCCACATGTCTGGCACGTAATCAGATACACTACGCCAGACTCCATACAATCCCCCTGCTTCCCAAATGGACAAATGACGCAATTCGGAATTGTACATAACCGGTCGTAGGCACGATTTCGTATAAGTCGTTTCCTAAGGTTAGGGGGTGGTATGTCTACGACTCTTACGTCATTTGCAAGCCCCGCGTGCTGCAGACTTTTCCTGATTGCTCTGCTAAATTCGTCGCAAATGAAGGGAACGCAAAAAGGAATTTTTGGAGGCTGCTCAAGTGTGCGCGATCTACGGCCTGGCAAATGATTGGACTTGAACTGATTGCCTGTTATGGGGTAACCGTTAGACTGCGCGATCTGTGTAGCCAGATTCATCGATACGGTGCGTTCCTGCGCATTTGAAGAGACCACCCTAGCGGTTCTGAACATGTTGCTTACTACGGATCTCTTAGTGCTCCAAGGGTGTGCAGAGTTATAATGGACTAGTATATTCTTGCTGCTAGGCTTACGAAACCATTTGGTCTTGTATACCCCATTGGATAAGTATACCTGCACATTGAGGAAGGCAAGCCAATTATCGCTGGGTGTCTCGCGGGTGAATTTGATATTGGGAGACTGGGTATTTAAGAGATTGAAGCAGATGTCCATCTCACTCTGTGATGGACATACTACACAGTGTATGAGGGGAAACAAGTGTGAACTTCCCAAATGCCCAGTTCTCTATTTACTAGTCAAAACGCACAAACTCACTGCTTCATCTCTACTCTCCAACAATCCATCAGATTTTAAGGTCAGGCCCATAATAAGTAGTTTCGGGGGTCTTAACGATAGAATATCTTGGCTGCTAAATCTAGTTCTCAACCAGCTGCTTAGGTTTATACCTGCACATTCATCAAACACCAAAATGTTTCTCGAACATCTTAAGAATACGCAGTTCACTAGCGATTGTGTGATGGAGTCCTTCGATGTTACTTCTCTGTACACCAATGTTTCCCAACAAGTCTGCCATGGAAGCCGTGTTTGAGCTTCTCATGGAACATCAGGACTCTCTCCACATGTACGGCCTCACTATTCAGCAAGTAATGACTCTCTTGAGTGAGTGCTTGAACTGCTGCATTTTTCGTTGGTCTGGAAGCTATTACAGACAAGTTAGAGGGTTAGCCATGGGGCAAAGACTGGCTCCTACCGTTGCTATTGCCTTTATGTCCAAAATTGAAACCCCAGTACTTGCCCGCAAGCCATTATTATACTGTCGCTACATAGACGATTGTTGTGTAGTATGTCCATCACAGAGTGAGATGGACATCTGCTTCAATCTCTTAAATACCCAGTCTCCCAATATCAAATTCACCCGCGAGACACCCAGCGATAATTGGCTTGCCTTCCTCAATGTGCAGGTATACTTATCCAATGGGGTATACAAGACCAAATGGTTTCGTAAGCCTAGCAGCAAGAATATACTAGTCCATTATAACTCTGCACACCCTTGGAGCACTAAGAGATCCGTAGTAAGCAACATGTTCAGAACCGCTAGGGTGGTCTCTTCAAATGCGCAGGAACGCACCGTATCGATGAATCTGGCTACACAGATCGCGCAGTCTAACGGTTACCCCATAACAGGCAATCAGTTCAAGTCCAATCATTTGCCAGGCCGTAGATCGCGCACACTTGAGCAGCCTCCAAAAATTCCTTTTTGCGTTCCCTTCATTTGCGACGAATTTAGCAGAGCAATCAGGAAAAGTCTGCAGCACGCGGGGCTTGCAAATGACGTAAGAGTCGTAGACATACCACCCCCTAACCTTAGGAAACGACTTATACGAAATCGTGCCTACGACCGGTTATGTACAATTCCGAATTGCGTCATTTGTCCATTTGGGAAGCAGGGGGATTGTATGGAGTCTGGCGTAGTGTATCTGATTACGTGCCAGACATGTGGAGATCAGTATGTAGGGGAAACCGGCAGGCCCTTGTGCGTTCGGGTCAAGGAGCACCTAGACGGGCTCGAAAAATCGAAATTGTCTACCCCTCTAGGTGCCCACCGCAGGCAACGCCATGACGATCAACACTATGACGTAGCTGTCACAATCTTATCGCAGGAGCCTGATACCGTAGCGCGAAAGACGTTGGAGGCATTTTGGATAGCATCAAAAACTCCAAAAAATAAACCGCAAAGAAGAATGCATTGCCGTGACGACCGAATTAGCACCGTATCAAGCTCTTTGTGGCTTTTGACCTACGGGTCTGGGTCAGGTCAGGTCATCTGTGCTGTATAAATAGTGGTATAGCAGTACACAGTAACGGCGCTATCCATTAGGTGGTCTGCTCTTAGTCTCCATTGCTGGCTATTGAGGTAAGCATTAGCTTAGTTACGGTCTCTGTCTTAATCTTGCAACTACCATGTGTTGGACAGTATCTGTTGGGTGACTGAGTGCTTACAAGAACAGTTTCGCATAGTTTTTGATCTTTCAGGCTCCGAAGAAGGAGTTGTACTCCGAAACGTTAGCCGAGAAATAAAGATCGATACCAATCTTGGCCACTGCTCAAATATCATACCAAAGTTATATGGACGATGCCAAGATTAATTGACAATCGAGCTCTAAGCGGCATACGTCAAACGCGCTGCGGCCAGAAACCTCGCAAAATAAATATCTCCATAGGGGTTAACTTTAGCTTTCGTACAATTTGAGTAATGTGATAACTTTCGTACAATTTGATTAATGTGACTAAAGGCCACCAACATCAGCCTTAAGCCAAGCAATAAATCTAATTCGCGATTTAAAACCAGTCATGCGCGTACAAGGAGACTTTTTGCTGCCACGGGAATATGCTAAACTCGGAACCGTGCTCCCAAAGAGCAAGACAGATGTACGACTAAGCCCAAAGCGAAACTCGGCCTCTTCAAGTATAAGCTAGATCCTAGTCAAAAAACACTCCAACATTTGATCGACTCGCACACCAACAGACTCCCTACTGACTTTAACAACTATTCTATCTATGCGAATAACAGCAACTTCAGCAAATCAGTAAGTATTGAATTTCTACTTTGTTTGTTCTCAACCATTTTCCATTTCGCATACCCTTGCTAAAGTGTGTTTATATTACTTATCTATCCATATCAGTGCTTTTGAGCGCAACAGAATGACTCGATTTTGAAAAAGAAAAGAACTTATAACAGTCTCAAATTTTCTCTTCTCACTTGCTATAATTACAGCCATTTGGCTGCCAGCTAATAATCTCTGCTAATCCGCATCCACACATTTTGGTCTTTCC